GAGAGCTGGACTAATTTGGGGACTTCAGACTAATTTTCTCAGCTCTGTCTCACTCCCATTCCTTTTTATCAGGTACTTAACGATTTCAAATCAGGACATTCTAACTTATTTCTCTGTCTCTGCAATTATGCCTGTAAGGCCAGGCTAAGGCAGAGCCTCTCGCTGCAGCGGGTCGGGACTGTCGAACATCGATTTTACAGGAGCTTTTCGGCCGCACGGGGCGCGTTCTGGGCTGAACCAGCGCCCTCTGGGTTTCTGGCCACTCCCCGCAGGGTTAACGATGGCCTCCACGCCCAGCAGGTGTCACAACAGCTGCCCTCCCGCAACAATAGAGAATAGAAAAAATCGCCAGCCAGCGTTTGGGAGCCAGGCCGAGATTCGGTCCGGCTCTGCCGTGTGAGCCTTCCCGAGCCCCAGTCTCCTCCTCTGCGACAGCGGCTGCACGCATCTGCGTGCACAGCTGGGTTTTCTGTAAAGCCAGCCAAGCTTCGCTTTGGGGCCCGACTGGCCCCAGGAGAGGCTCTAGAAGTTTTGTAGTCACGTTTCTTTACCCTTTTTCATAAACAGAGCACCCCGAGATTTTGTCAGCTTCAGACCCCACAAAACTTGGATCTGCTCCTCCTCACCCCACAGGGCTGATCTGAGAGTTAAATAAGATTCTGTTCATAAAGCACGTGACATTTAGTAGATGTTCAATAAATGTTACTTCCTCCCAGAGTAGCCTAAGAAAGGGACGGGAGGACAGACAGACAGCAGACTGGTGTGCTGGCTGCATGCCCCTTTAATGCTCCATGCGTTGCCCGCAGGGAGGGTGCTAGGGCACCCGGCCCTTGGGGGAGGCCTCCCTGTCTCTGATGTGGCTGTGGATCCAGTCGAGGTAGCGGCTGACTTTGGTGTACACGCCGTAGTTGTGGAGCAGGCCACAGCCTTCGCCCCAGCTCACCAGGCCCACCAGGAACCAGGTGCCTCGGAAGGAGGTGACCATGGGCCCCCCACTGTCACCCTCACAGGCATCCTGCCGGTCCCCGAGGATGCCCGCACACAGCATGTTCTCAGAGATCATGTTGCTCATGACCTGCATGCACTCGTTGCGCGAGACCACAGGGATCTTGATGAAGTTGAGGATGAAGGTGCGGTTTCTCTTGGTGTCTTTCTCTCGGCTGCTCTTATAGCCCCAGCCCGTCACCACAGTCTCCTGGCCAGCCTGAGTGAGCTCGCGCTCTGCAAGGCCGCTGTCCGGGAGGCAGATGGGCACGATGTTCTGTGAGAGGGTGGCCGGCCTGTCCAGGCGCAGCAGCGCGATGTCATTGTCGGTGGTGCTCCTGCTGTAGTTGGGGTGGATGAGGACCTCCTTGATGCCCAGATCCAGCTCCAAATTCTCCCAGCGCCGCAGGTCATACTCCCCTGTGGGGCAGACGCACCGTCAGAGTGGGCGGGTGCAGCCTCTGCCCCGGCCTTTCCCGAGGCTGCCGCGAGTGCCGTGCCCCGGCCGACGCCTGATGGAGGTCACGGCTGGAGAGTGTTCACCCACATGTCCCAGGTGCTGTCCTGGGGCCACCTGTCTGTGCTGTGGATCCCTATCAAGGGTGACTTCTCCTGACAGCAGGAGTGGCCCCCAAGTGTCAATCCCAAAGGGGCAGAATTGGTCCGGATTCAGGACTCACAGAGGGAGCAGTGAGACCAGGGAAGTAATGGGTAGCAGGGAAGCCCAGGGCCCCTAGAAACCCGCAGACACAGACCCGAGCCATGAAGGGCCGTGAAGCAACTGAAGCTGGAGAGAAAGGGCAGGAGCAGTGAGAACCAGAGAGGAGGACCGGCAGAGCACGCCACCGCCGGGAAGGAAGACCCGGATCACACACACGAGACAAGGTCCTCTCAGGCCGGACTGATGGTTCCTGGGCAGGGGGCCTGGAAGCCCTAAGCCAAGCCGCACTAGAGGCCACTGGCCCGTGATTACGCTGAAGGTAATTGTAGGCAGTGTGAACTGCTCGTTCTCAACACACCTCTTCCTTCCTTTTGCACAAAGACATGAGTAAGAAACCTCTCTAGAAATGGCATAGACTGGGGCCTGTGCCCGGGGACCCCAGACTACTAGGGACACAGCTCTCTGCTTTGGCAGATGCCAGGGCCCCTGCTGCGTAGCTCCATCCCTGTCCGTCTGTGAAGCACAGCCCTGAGGCCAGGCCTTGCAGGTCTCTGCACCCAAGGGTGCTGAGGTCCACCCATGGCCTGCTCCGCAGGAGTGGGAGTGAAGAGCTGAGGGTGTGTGTAACCCCTCACTTACAAACACATGTGTGCAAGGACCTGTGCCCAGATTTGAAGAGGGCACCAGAAATCCCCTACCTGCAAAATACCAGGTGTCATAGGGTGGGCAGGGTGGGCACACATAGTCCTTTTCCCCCCAAACACCTTCTGTGGAGATCAAACAATCTCTTGCTCAAGTATCCTGGGGACCAGGGTCCCCCAAACCTGGACAACTTGCCTGGTCCCCACCCCCGGGGCCCCTGGCAAACCCCTCTTGCCTGGCTCCAGCCCATACCAAGCCTGACAATGAGCTTCCTGGAGCCCTCCATGCAGTGGGCCGCCGTCAGCACCCAGGAGGGGTGGATGAGCACCGCCCCGCAGGCCAGCTGCTTCTTCGAGTCCAGCAGGACCACCTGGAATGGGGATGGGGCAGCCACGTCACAGAGCTGCTCTCCGGCAGCTCCAAGTCCAGGGCTCCCAGGTCTCACATGGCCCCGGCATGGTTCTCAAGCACTTCCCTGGGTTCCCTGGTCACTTGGGCATAGGCTAGGGACCTTTTCTGGAATTTTCTATTTCTGCACATTTTATGGTGTTGGCCCATCCCAGGGTGTCTTCCTGACTTTGCTCATGCTGCTCCTTTGTTCCATGCTGTTCCAGTCATCCTCAGCCACACCCAACATCACCCAGTGAGCTCCTCTGATCCTTGGGGGCTTGGGCCAGGACTCGCATCCTCTGGGAAGACTCTGTGGCCCTAGGCTGCCTTGGCAGCTCCCCTCGGGCCTCCCTCAGCCCCTGTCCAGACAGCCATCCTGGCTCCAGTCCCACTGGGTTGCCTTGTGTTTAGAGTCCTGACCCTCCCAGAGTCCGTAAGCTCCCCGAGGCCACTGCCCCCACATGTTGATTTCTGTACCCTGCCCCCGACCCCCAGCGCCTGGCAGAGAGGCACCAAGTAAGTGTTAGTTCCCACGTTGAGGCTGGAGGTACTCAGGACCAGCCCTGACTGTGCCAAACCCCTCCCATTAGCGGGCCTCTCCCTGACATGCTGCAGCACAGCGTTACTTTCCCCTCAACACTGCAGCGCCCCTGCCCTCCTGCTCCACGGCCACCCCGCCCCACCCTGGCCGGCCGCTCCTCTCCCTTTAGCACTCCCCACAAGCCCCCCAAGCGATGGCAGCACTTCCTGCCCGTTCCTGCACCCAGAGCGACCCAGCGGAGGAGAGAGGCAACCTGCCCTTACCTGCCAGGGGCTGTCTCCCTGTCTGGTCAGCTTCCCGTTGACGAGCCGCGGGTCTACTTGGTCTGCTCGGTCTGGGTCCGCTTGTTCTGCTCGGTCCGTGTCACGTTTAAAGTAATTGCGCTTCTTGTCCATTCGTTTCCATAGCCTCCCACAAGGGAACTTCACTGAAGGCAGAGGGAGGCCATGAGTGGCCTGCCAGACACTGTTTCTGAGACCGCCCTCCCACCTTTCTCCCTCCCCCCTGTAGGCCAGTTTGCCACATTGTAGAGTTCAAGGGATAAGTGATGCTTGGAACACTCAATTAATACAAGCTACAAATCCCCTCCAGTCAGTCAACAAACAGTGCCACCTAATGGCAAGAGCCAGACCAAGCAGCATCACCACCTAACTGTGTCCTTGCATAGGTTGTTAAACTTCTGGAAGGTTCATTATACCTTAGGGCTGTTGGGGGTAATCCCTGAGATACTTAGGTAAGATCTCATGCTGGGATGCTGCCAAGCTCCTCATAGAGGTAAGACATTATGGAGAGAAGGAGGTGAGCATTCTTCAAGAGCCCTAAAGAAGCCCTGGGCACAGTTGTGAGGCCTCCCCGCCAAGAGGAGAGTGCACACTGTGGAGAACCGAGGGCTAGAAGGTCTGCCGGGCTCTGCTCATTAGGGGCCTTGAATGCCAGGTTGAGGGATCTAGACTTGCAGGGGCAATGGGATGCCGTCCACAGGGGAACTACATGGTGACAAGACAATGGAGAGAACATGACAACACAATTCCAAAAGCTGACAGCAGATGCATGTGGTGACTGACTTACACTAGAAAGCAAAAACCTCAGCCAGTAGCGGAGATGCCCAGAAGCCAATGGAACCACAGAAGCCTCAGCGCTTCTGAGGGAGGCGGCGCAGGTGGGACTGCGGGTGGGAGGTGTGTTGAGAGTTTGTAAGAGAAACCGCCAGAGCCCTCCTCACTGGCTTGGCTCTGCTCTCCCACCCCATGCAGAAGACATGAAGAGGGTGAACCAGACACTGTGACACAGGGACTCCAGGCACCACCTCAGGAAAGAGGGACATGCCTGGCTGACACAGGAGTCATGCAGACATCCACAGTTTGTGCAGATGCCAGCTTCCTTTCCCCACCCTGCTCCAAGGGGCTGGAAGCCACGCGTGAGCATCCTCCAGCACAAGCTTGGAGGATTCCTTTCACAAACAGCCTAAAATCTGGGTAGCAGAAGGAGGGAGCCTTCCAATAGCCTCGCAGGAAAGCCCACTGGCCACCAGGCATTTCTTTGCAACCTCCTGTGAATCTCTGATTATTTCAAAATAAAAAGTTAGAAAATTTTTTTCAGTAGGAGAATTGGAATATGAAGTTGTGGAAAGTTTCCTGAAAGAAGAACACAAATTCAAAGAGATAGACACAAACAAATGGAAGGATATTCTACGCTCACGGATTGAAAGATGACAATATTGTCCAAAATAATTTACAGATTCAGTTTACAGATTTAAGATGACAATATTGCCCAAAGCAATTTACAGATTCAATGCAATCCCTAATAAAATACCAATGACATTTTCACAGAAATAGAAAAAAAAATCCTAGAATTTATATGAAATCACAAAAGACCCTGAATAGCCAAAGCAATCCTGGGCAAAAAGAACAAAGCTGGAGGCATTACGCTACCTGACTTCAAAATTTATTAAACAGCTATAGTAACGCAAACAGGATGGTACTGGCATAAAAACAGACCCATGGGCCAATGGAACAGAATACAGAACCCAGACATAAACCCACACATTGACAACCAACTCATCTTCAACAAAGGTGCCAAGAACTCACAATGGGGAAAGAACAGTCTTTTTAATAAACGGTGCAGAGAAAACTGGATAACTGCATGCAGAAAAATAAAACTAGACACCTTTCTCTCCACATACATAAAAATCAAATCAAATTGGATTAAAGACTTAAATCTAAGGTCTGAAACTATGAAACTACTGGAAGAAAACATTAGGGAAATGTGCCAGGACATGGGTCTGGGCAAAGATTTCTTGTGTGAGATCCGAAAAGCACAGGCAACCAAAGTAAAAATAGACAATTGGGATTACATTAAGCTAAAAAGCTCCTCCACAGCAAAGAAACAATCAACAAAGATAAGAGACAACACACAGAATGGGAGAAAATATTTGCAAACTACCCATCTGACAAAGGACTGATAACTATAATATATAAAGAGCTCGAACAACTCAAAAAACATAGCAAAAAAAAAAAAAATTCAAGTTATAAATGGGTAAAAGATCCGAACACACATTTCTCAAAAGAAGACATACAAATGGCCAACAGGTATATGAAAAAATGCTCGACATCATTAATCATCAGAGAAATGCAAATCAAAACCACCGTCCGATATCACCTTACCGAAGTTAAATGGCTTGTATCAAAAAGACAACAACAGATGCTGGTGAGGATGTGGAGAAAGGGGAACCCTCGCATGCTATTGGTGGGAATGTCACTTAGTACAGTCACTATGGAGAACAGTATGTAGGCTCCTCAAAAAACTAAAAATAGAACTTCCATATGATCCAACGATTCCACTACTGGGTATATAGTCAAAAGAAAGGAAATCAATATATCAAAGAGATATCTGCACTTTCATGTTTATTGCAGCACTATTCATAATAGCCAAAATATGGAATCAACCTAAGTGCCCATCAACTGATGGATGACTGGATAAATAAAATGTGGTATATACACAATGGAATGATACTCAGCCATAAAAAAGAATGAAATCCTGTCATTTACAAAATGGATGGAACCACAGATCATTATGTTAAGTGAAATAAGCCAAGCACAGAAAGACAAATACTGCATGTTCTCACGCATATGTGGGAGCTAAAAAAATGGTGGATCTCATGAAAATGGAGACTAGATTGGTGGTCACAAGAGGTCAGGAAGGGGAGGAGGAGGGGGAGGGGAACAGGAAAAAAAAGGTCTTTATTACCACTCATCTGTACACCTAAAAATGGCAAAGATGGTAAATTAAATTACATATGTATATTTTACCTCAATAAAAATTGTTCTAAAAAGACAATAAAACTAGAGTAAAGAGATCTGAATGATAGGAGGTCCAGAAATAGAACAGAGAAAGCAGAAGAGAGATTGTCAAAGAAATAACTAAAAATTGTTCCCAGAAGTAAAAGATGAATTTCTAAATTAAAGAGGTCTAACAAGAGCACTGTACAACCAGTGCACAAAGACCCACGCCAAGGAACAACGTGTTGAAATTTACTAATAAGAGTCGTAAAACTCTGACTTTTACAACTTTGTACATGTATAAACGTGGAAAGAATGAAAGTGCGTAAATAGGCAAATGTGGGGACGCAGGGGTGCAGGGGAAGGGAGGCGCGCCCGAGACGTGGGTGAGGAACAGACACGCCCGGCGGGCGGCGGGGCGGCGCGGGGACCAGGAGGAGCGCGGCGGGCACGGACGAGAGAGCGGGAGCGGCGAGGCACGCGCCCCTCGGGTCCGACTGTCGCCCCACTCCCGCCGCCCAAGGGCTTTCGCGCGCCCGCGGCTCCCGGGCGGCTCACCCGCCGGCCGGCACTGCAGGTGGTCGTCCCCCAGCTCGTAGCCCGGCGCGCAGCTGCAGCGTCGCCCGCCCGCCGCCTCCAGGCAGTAGTGCGCGCAGCCACCGTTGTCCACCGAGCAGTTGGAGAAGCTCACCTCTGCGGGACAGGGGCGCACGGGCCGAGAGCGGCGGTGGCGCCGCGCCCGGGCCCCTGCCGCCCGCCCGCCGCCCGCCGCGCGCCCCGCGCCCGCTCACCGAGCTGGCAGAAGCGGCCCTCCCAGCCCCGGCCGCAGTCGCAGCTGAAGCCGCCGATGCCGTCGGTGCACGTGCCGTGCCCGCAGCACGGGCTGGCGCACTGGTGCTCCAGGGGCCGGGCCGCGCACTGGTCACCGTCTGCGACACAAGGCGGAGAGTGGGGGGTCACTGGTATCGCCAGCCCCCTCCCTGACCCCCAGCGGCCCCGAGAGCCCTAGGGGAGCGGACACCCGCAGCCCAGCAAGGGGGACGCACTCACCGACGTACTTGGACCAGAAGGCCAGCTGTGAGGAGAGCGTCAGGGGTCGGCAGCCCGGTGGGGGCCGAGGCGCCTCCCGGGTGCGGCCCAGGTGGGGCAGGGCAGCCTGTGCGCGGGCAGGTGAGGCGGGGAGGGGCTTCCAGACAACCAGGGATCGACCCCTGACGATCGCAGGCCGCAAGTGCTCCTCGCCCCGCAGTCCCCACCTCCCACCCCCGCGCGAACTCCACCCAACCCCCACGAACAGTACCCCTCCCCGCGCAGCAGGACAGAGCAGTCTGCGCCACAGCAGCCTCTGCAAGGGAAGGGACCCCAACCCCCCCGCCAGGCCGCTCTGCCCCTCCCTTCCCCAGCCGCCCTCTGCCAGGGCATTGTTCCCTCGCGTGCCCTCGCCTCCCGTCTCTCCCTAAGCGGTGTCCTCGCAGCCGGTGAGAGGCAGATTGCTGCTTCAGAAAGTCTGGGGCGGCAGAGAGCGTTTCTACCCTGGCGCAGGTTCTCCGCTGTGCACACGACACTTGCTGTGACGCTGATGCCTGCGCTGTCAAACAGGCCCAGCAGCAGCCACTCTGCCATGCTGGGGCCCACTGACCATGGGTGACGTCAGGGAGCCATGGCAGGGATATGCTGTGCCCATATTGTGCCTTAAGACAATCATATGGCGTCTGCTGAGGAGGCCATTTGGGAAAAGAGGCAGTGGGGACTGAGGACCCAGTCCAGGAGGTGAAGGCCAAGGGCAAGAGAGGGGCAGGCCAAGCGCCCCCTTTTGCCTTGAACGCCTCACTGGGAGAGGTGTCCCTACAGACACCTTGGGAGGGGGTGCCAGGTCCTTGCAGCAGAAGTGAGCCCTTGGGGACAGAGGGGGCCCGAGCTTTGTATCAGGAAGCCACCCCCCCTTACCAAGCCCACCCTGCCACCCCAGGACCTCCTCCACAGGGCCGTGGGGACTCTGGAGGACTCCGACCCTTAGGCCAGAAGGACCCAGACCCTTTCTTCAGATCCCCTGAGCAATTGGGATTTCCCCCTTGAGAACTGGACCCAATTCACACAGCAGGTGAGGACATATGGACGGGCATCGGGGAGTCCAGGTCACACATGCTTGATCCTCGGGTACATGAGTGGAAGCAGGGGTGATGGCTGAGACAGAGAGGGGAGGCAGGGTGTCCAGCAGCAGCTGGAGGGTAGACTGAACTCCCTCGATGGGGTTGGGTGGGACTCCCAAGCCCAGGGCTGCCCTTCACTCTCTCCTTCCTGGAATTCATTGCAGGGTTCTGTTTCTTACAGTCACGTGTGCCCAACCAACACCACAGGGCCAGCGTCCTATTCACTGCACTCAGCCATCCCCAGCAAGCTGGGGGGAAGATGGGCTGGTGGCCACCACCTCCCCAACTCCCCAGTGGGCCTCCACGCTCGGTCTCCCCTGGTCCTCCAGGCTCCAGTCGGCCACCAGCCCACCCTGAGCCTCATCCTCTGGACCCAGCCAGCCAGGTGACCTTACTGTGTCTTCCACATTTTGGAAAATCTCCTTGGCCTCCTCGAAGTCACAGATCTCCTCTGTGCACTCCCGCTCCAGGCTGCTGGGCCGGAGCTCCTCCAGGAAGGTGTTGGCGCGTTTGACCCGCAGCACCTCGTGGGCATGCTGGCTGCTGGAGAACACCGAGTCTGCTTCGGGGGGGGAGGGGAGCTCACTTTGGTGGAGGGGCCCGAGAGGGGCTGGGGGCCTGCAGGGGTCTGAGGAAGCCAAGCTGGGACAGCCTGGAAAAGGCTGGAAAGGCCTCATCTCAGGCCCCTCAGGCCTTGTTCTAATTCCAGGTCAGGAAGCTGCGCCTGCTCCTCTGCTCTCTTCCTCTGCAGGAAGCTGGTGACAGTTGGAAGACAGAACCTCCCTGGGAACCCCAATCTGACCTCTGTGTGACCTTGAGCCAGTGTCTTAACGTCTCTAAACCTCAATTTACTCATCCAGAAAATGAGGAGGAGATCATCATGTGAAACAATACGGTCAGGGCCTGGCACAGCAGTAAGCACTCGATGCCAACGCCGGCCGCGGCCGCTAGGACTGCAACGGCAAATGGTCTCCTTGTCCTCGCAGTACACCTCGTGCGGCCACGTCCCCACCCCCAGCATCCCCCATGTCCTCCTTGGACAAGGACGCCTGGAGGGCAGACAGACCTGTCACTCAGTGCGTGTCACCAAGTGCCTCCTGGGCTCTGCAAGGTGTCTGTCTTGGGTGCAGGGGACAGCTAGGAGGCAGGGATCCCAGCGGGGGCGAGCATGAGGGGTTGGAGGGAAGGGCCCCCAGAGGAAGGTGTACCAGGGCTGAGTCCGGACAGATGAACTCAAGCAGACCTCGGGGGGGTGGGGAGGGGACCGGGCAGACGAGCAGCTCGACAAGAGGCACCAAGGCCCCAAGCAGCCTCGTGTGGCTCCAGGCAGGTCATGAGGTCATGGCTACCGCCTGTTGGCTGTGGGGACGAGGAAAGGGGTTGGGGCAGGGCAGCTACGCAGCAGATGTGCACGTTGGGAGGAGAGGCCGTGCCTGGGGCCTTTGCAGTTGAGGGCGCGAGTGGGTGGAGAGGGAACACACAGGGCCCCTGCTGAGGAAGGAGCTTCAGGAGGTAAGCACAGGGCTCCCTGCCACGCCCGTGCCTGCCCTCGCAGCCTGTGTCGCGTCCACAGCTGGCCTGCTTGGGACTTGCCTGCCCCCATCTCACCTGCGGCTCAGAGAGGCTGCCGAAAGGCGTGAAGGCCTGGCAGGCGCCAGCCAGGGCCTGTGCAGGCCGAGAGGGGCCGGGGCTGGGGCCTTACCAAGAGGAGCTGGAGCGCTGGAAATTCCCCAGGTGGCCACGAACAGCAGGAGGCTCGCAAGCTGCCACATTCTGCACCTGTCTGAGGAGGACTTTTGAGCTCCCAGCAGCACACCAGCCGCTGCTCTGCCCGCACCCCCAAGCGGAAGCCAAGTGAAAGGGCTGTTCCTGTGTGCTGGTTGCCAGGGTGAAAGCTGGGGTCGGGGGGTGCTTGTTCACTAGACAGACAGCCCGAAGCCTCTGTATGGAACTAAGGTCAGACCACCTGCCCCAGAAGTGGGAGGCACACGGGGTCCTTGCGAAGATCAAAGGGACTCAGCCTAAGTGCGGTGGGGTGTGCACTGGAATATCTGTGCCCGCCCTCACCTTGCTCTTCGGTGATGGCGGGGGCGGGGCTGGCTGCCGTTGCCGCTCTGACAGCTGGGCTGAGAATAGCTAATGTGGAGTAGACACAGGGTGTCTTTCAAGCAATGTGTACATGATTTGGAAGACAGGCATGAAGCCAGACCACCTGGTGCCAATTCCAGCTCCAGCACTTACCGGATGGCAATGTTGGGCAAGATGCTCAATTGCTCCATGCCTCAGTTTCCTCGTTTATAAAACAAACAGAATAATTGTGTTTCTGCCATAAAGGGTATTGTGAGAATTAACTGAATTAATCCACGTGCAGCTCTTAAAACAGGGTTTGCACATAGCAAATGCTTGGTAAACATTAGCTACTACTATCTCAGTTAAGGCTCACAGCCACCCAAGAGGCAGGTATTAATGTTGTCATCCCCATTTCAGAGGGGAAACTGAGGGCCACAGGGGTTGAGTAGCTTATTAAAAATCCATGACCAGGAGCTGGCAGAACTAGTACTAAAGAGCCCAAGCCTGGTCTTGAGGCTCCAGGCCTGCATCTTAACCCCTCCCCCCAACCACCGAACACCCCACAAGGCCACAGAGCTAGCCCTGCCAGCTGGATACCAAGGAGGCCTCCACTGCCAGCAAGGCCCCGTGAGTAGGCCTGCACGCTGCATCCAACTCCCCTGCCTGATCTGCCTCTGCACCTTTGTTCCCTGCCTCTAAGGCTAGTTCTGATGTTTGTTTAACTCTGAGGCCCCAGGTTTGGAGGTAAGAGTGGAGTAAGGAGAATGGGGGGGTCTGAGGTTCCAAGCTGCCTCTGGGATGGCCGTGGCCCTGGAGACCCTCGGCCAACTTCCATTTGACCCGTAGTCTGGAAAGAGGGACGCACGTGATGAGAGGGGCTCCCTGGGACTCGGGCTCCCAGGCCTGGGGAATGCCAACCGGTGCCTTGGCCTACCCAGGGCTGGGCCTCATTTCTCTTTATCCCAAACTCCGGCTGGTCTCGAGAACCCAAGTTTGCGGATTTGACCCTCATCACCACTCAGTCCTCCTCTTTCTTCTGCACCCCTCCCTCTGCACCCCCCACAGACCTGCGTCGAAGGAGACTCACAGGGGTGGGTCATGGAGAGACTGCAAGTTCTGCCTCCTGCCGCCATGACAGCCTGGAATTCGGGTTAATCCATAACCACAAATATTTGCTTGGCCTTCAGCACTGAGGCCTCCCTCTCCAGAGATAAACAAACAAGTGGCTCACACTCCTGGTCCAAGCTCAAGGTGGCTCGGTTTGCCCGAAGCCCACCTCAGCCCACTAAGGATGCTGTCCAGAAGGGAGGAGGAGAGGGCCGGGCACCCTCAAAACTGTTGATGATGTGGTCTCATTTTAACCTCATGGTGGCTGGCTGAGGTAAGGACGTTGTCCCCGTTTTGCAGATGGGGACATTTTTACTCAGAGATATTATAGTTTGCTCAAGATCAGCACAGGTAATGATTCCATATTTCATCAAATCTAGGATGACATTAATTAAAAGATGCACCTATTTTATGTGCCAGTATAAAAAAGACACTGTCACCATGACATACTGTCCTGCCTTCTGATGCATAAAGACATGAAAGATAAGCCTCTTGGGGTCCCCACCACACGGGCCATGGGCACTGGGCCAGACCCTCACCTTTAATTGTTTGTGTAATGCCCCCACACACACAGGCAGCTGCGTGCAGCCAGTTCTATAATCTTCACTTTGCAGAAGAGGAGGCTCTGAAGTCTTGTGTGACTCACCCAAATTCACTGAGTGGGTGTGAGGAGGATGCTCTGCGGCTAGCTTGTGCTCCGGCGCAGGCTTCAGAAATCGGAAGAAGAAGCGAGTGGCAGCAGGCAGGTGAGACATGATCTTTATTGTTGGGGGACGCAGCAGTGGCGAAAAGCATGGCTGAGAACGTGGCGAGCGCTTGTATGTGGTTCTGAACAATCGTGGCAACATGCGATGGGAAAGCCTGATCACATGGGTTTACACAGGAGATAGCACCTTGGTTACGTGAGTGTGCTGACTCATGCCTCCCAGGAAGGCCAGCTAGCCCGGGGGGGCCAGGCTGGAAAAAACACTGCGGCAGTCATCTTAGCTTGGCCTGGGAAACCTGTTGCCTATACAAACGTATTTTCCCTTACATTCCACCCCTTAGGTAATAGGTTTCTCAGCCGACACATGGGCCCATAGGGTGGCCCCTTGGGCACAAAGGGCACAGCAACAATACAGGGAACAACACAGTATTGCCAGACCGCAGCCAGCAGCTCCTAACACTAAAAGGGTCCAACGTCAGGGCCAGGAGGATGAGAGACGTTCCCACCATTCCCGTAGTGGGTCTCCAGTTAACTGTTGGATGGCCTGTACTTCGCCATCAACTTCCTTCAATGCAGAGGACATATCCTCCTAGTGAGCGGGTATATACACAACACACAGTGTGTATGACTGCGCATGCGCCTCCTGGCACTGCAGTGAGGAGATCAAGGGCCACGCAGTTTTGCAAAACCACTTTCCTCATCTGAGTGACCTCATCCATCAGGAGGGTCAAAGCCTGCCGGGTTTGAGTCAGGGCCCGAGCAGTAGCTCCTCTACGGCATTCAATTCTATCTCTACCTCAATGGTTCCACCCCCAGGAAAAAGGATGGCTACCGGGTAAAACCACCATGGAGTCCGCTTCACTCACTCCCAACGGGAGAACACAGCATCCTGGTTATGCGGCTTCTCAGTAAAGGTGGGGAGGACCTTCCCTGGAATGAATGGCCGTCCCCACATGCATCTTCCCGTCCAATGAGTAGGAAGATAAAGCCATCCATATTTTCCACATATCCACAAAAATCCTGAGGGCACTCTGTCGGTGGGGACAGTCCCCACCAAAAGTTTTCCACTCCACCAGCGGGTGGCATTATTATTCCGAGTAATGTTTGAACGAAACTCTTTCGGGATCCATCCCACAGTGCAGGTTCTCAATCCCATTTCCTGTTTTATACATAGAGGGGCCGCTGGCGCAATTCTACTTGTGCCCCTACTAGCCAACCCCAACCATCCCAAGCAGCGTATCCCAAAGGGGTATGTGGGCGCGGAGTCCGTTGCAGGTGTTTCTCGACTACCCTGCGAGCAGGGTCGTAGTTGGCGTCCTGGGGATGCCACGTGGCCAGGAAAGTCCAGTTCTGCAGAGAAGCAGGGGCGATGCTCCAGGGCAGACGGCCGGAGGTTTCCTCCAGGAACTCCATGCAGACCCAGCAGTGAGAAATGTTGGCGACTTGAGTGCAAGTGTGGGCCCAGGAGGCGATGCTGTTAGCCTGGATCACCTTGTTCGGTGAGGAAGAGCAGACGGGGGACACTAAGGGTAGCTCACGTCCTTCAGGCAGCACACAGGCTACCTGTCCGTCCTGGGACAAGACTGTGGCTGGAATTGCCTTTTGTCCTGGGCGATGGTACCACACAGTCTCACCCATAACAGGTGTGGCAGTTTCAGGTGCCAAGACAAGGGGAACCCGGGGAATTACCCAAAAGGCAAGAGCTAAAGTGCCTGTGAGGAGGGTGCCCTTTCCATGGCAGCCTGCCGTGACTGTCACCGATTGCTGCTCAGGGGCGAGCATGGCAGGTGACATGTTGGAGAGGTACTGTTACTGTAACCCATCCCCTCACAGGGCTAAGAGACCAATCCACTGGGGTTCAGGGCCTGTTATATGCCATGACCATGTCCAGGTTTTTATCTCTCCTTCCTTGAGGGGAGTTGGGGCCAGAAGCAGAACAGTTCCGTCCTGATTTACCTGGGGTCACATCAATGGGTCCTTGGTAACATCTGTCAGTCGGAGGGGAGTGGTCTGTTGTAGGTTAAATAATCTAAGGGGGCAGGCCCATCCTTTATGGGCTGCTCATTCAGCACCCGAACGACCCGATCCAACCTTTGTGTTCAGTGCCGGAGAGATCGGGGAAAAGGTCCACTTTTTGGCTTCCCCTGCAACAAACCATTGTATCACTCTAACATGCCAGCAGCCCAAGGCCAGTAGGGCACATGGGCTATCCACTCAATGTCCATTTGGCGTGCCCATTGTTAGACTTCATGTCCCATAAAATGACTACCCTGGTCACTTTCTATAGTGAGGGGCTGCCCATATAGAGCGGTTAAATGTTCCAATGCCTTAATGGTGGATGCTTGTTCAGCCCGGGCCACAGGGTAGGCAAAAAGGAGGGCTGTAGTGGTATCAACCGCTGTGAAGGCGTACATCGCATGTTAGACCGAGGCAGGGAACCAATGTAGTCAACCTGCCATCTCTCCAAAGGATGATCTCCCCGTCGGACATGGCCAGGAATGGTGGGGAGACGCCTACAATGTGGATACTGTTGGGCACGTACCTCACATTGATGACAAGCCGTCCATAAATCTGCCATAGGTGTGTGTAGATTCCACCTCTGGTTCACGTGAGCAATAGTCTTTACACCAGCATGGCCCCGATGACGGTGTAACCACAGGGCTTTGTCAGCCAGCAAGGGTGACCTGATCCATCGCACCCTTGCCAGGGTGTCAGCCTCATCACTGCCAGGGCTGACTAGAGGTCTATGTCCTGAAACATGATACACCCAGACCTCCTTCTGGTGTCCTTGCTGCAGCAAGTCCTCCCACATTGCTTGTCCCCATACTGGGCAGTGCCCTACTTGCCAACCTTGGGCTTTCCATGTAGGTAACCAGACAGCGAGGCCCTTAAACACAGCCCAGCTATCAGTGCACACATGCAAAGGGGACGGCCCGTGCACGACTACAATCCACACAGCACGCAATTCAGCCCATTGGCCCCTGCCCCATTTCAAACCAAATTTCATCATGATCCAATTGGATGGCCACTGCCATCCACTGGGCTAAAGGGCCACGACTGGACCCATCGGTATGCCATGCCTCTTCTGGAGGGGGACTTCGTCCTTCAAGGTATGGGCTCTCTTCCCTAGGTATTACCGTAGTCTGAGGGTCAGCATCAGACACAAATTCAACAGGACCCAGTACTATCTGCAATTCTACAGTTAAAGGGCTGGGGCTGAACTCTGCTTGTTGCTCCAAGTAAGCTTCCCACTTTGCCAGAGTGGGTGTCTGGGCCGCCCCTGATCGTGGGCTGGTTCTCCATGACCACACTCCTGCTGCTATGGGATACGTGGTGCGCACTAGCACCTTAGGCTGCCCAGTTATAGCTTCACAGGCCCGAAGGGCGACATACACAGCCACCGGGTGCTTTCCCACCAAGGAGTAGCGCTCCTGGGGGCCCTGCCAAATCTGGGACCAAAACCCAATAGGGACTCATTGCTTATGCTGGTGCTGCCACAAACCCCAGCCCATCCCACTTGAGTCAACTGTCACATCGAGGTCAAACAGCTCTGAGCAGTCCACTACTTGTAGCATCTGGGCCTGTGCAACAGCCCTCTTGGCTGCCATAAGGAGGCCTCTGCCCCCAGGGACCAGTCCCACTGTGCCCCCTTTTTACATAATGAATGCAACGGCCGCAACAGTTGGGCAAAGTGGGGAATGACTATATGCCAATACCCCAAAGCCCCACAAACACTGTAACTGTTTCACCATAGTGGGTTAGTGGGTCAGGGGATGCCTTGAATCTTATCTATAACTGCCTCAGGGATTGCTTTTGTCTTACCCGACCAGACAACACGCAAGAATTTGACCGACAAGCCAGGTCCCTGGACCGTGGAGTCATTCACCACCCAACCCCATTGTTCCAATGAGGTTCAAAGACTAGCAGAGGCTTCTTCTAGATCTGTAAGGGAATCAGGGGTTAACATTATATCACCAATATAATGAAACAGAAACACTGAGGATGGACTACTCCATGTGGCCAAATCCTGTGCCACCAAACCATGACATGTGGCTGGGCTCTGGAGATAACACCACAAATGTCCACTGTCATCCTTCCCACATGAAGGCAAATTGGTCTTGACCATAGCCATCTCTATGGAGAAAAAGGCATTGGCCAGGGCCACTACACAGTGGTACTGTCCAAGCACCAAGGTCAGTTGATCCATCAGATCCAGTATAGACGGCACTGTGGCAGGCTGTGGGGGAGTCACTTTATTCAGCTCCTGGTAGTCTACTGTCATTCTCCAAGTTCCATCTGGTTTCTTAACCTGCCAAACAGGAGAGTTGAATGGA